CTTTTTAAGTGGAATTGATATTTAAAATCTGTCGCATTTGTCTGCTTTACTTAACTAGGGTAACTACTCTTGTTCTAAAGGCTTATTAGGCCTACCTTCTTTTTTTGAAACAAACACACACAAAAAAATGTCTTATGATAATTTTGAACAAATGAATTCATTTTGAATTAATTAATTAATATTCTGGAGCTCTTTACATGAACAAGTCACTTCATTATTCACACCTAAATATAGATATCTATACGGGAACCTTCCTGTCCCATACGGTTGTAAAACTTTTTAGCTTCTCTTCTAATAAACTCAAAATTCAAGAGCAAATCACAATTATACTTTGCACTTTATTAATAGGTGAACATCTTAAGTGAACGATTAGTAATTGTCGCCACGAAAGAAGTATTTTTATTTTATTTATTTATTAATCTTGACCAGTTATTGACTACTAGCTAACGTCTTGTGCTGGTATTCTCCTCTTTAGATCAAAAGTCTCTACAGCTCATCTCCAGATCTGTAGAGGTTATTGATTAAACCGATTTGAATCGTCACATATTTGAATCGATTTTCAACCGGCTCGCAGTTAATCGTTACATCCCTACATTCTACATCATAAAATATTTCTTTCTTCCAGCCTGATCATGCCAAGACCCTTCCCAAAGACGTCGCCCTGACAATCCTGGCCAATGACGGCCCAGTGATGGACATTATTAAGCTGCTGGACTGGCAGGACCAGCAGAACTACTACGTCATGGTCGTCCAGCGTTTCTCCCACTGCATGGATGTTTTTTGCTTTGTGGAACGCAATGGAGGCAGCATTGACGAGAAGTTAGCGCGGCTCATCATGTGGGGGCAACGCTAGCCGCTAGTGCATGTTGTCGCCATGGAGTGTACCATGGCGACATCAAATTGGAGAACCTGCTCATAAACTTGGAGAACCTCGAAGTCAAACTAATTGACTTTGGATGCGGCTGTCTCCTGACGGAATCTGCCTACACAAGATTCTATGGTGTGTATTATCTCTACAAACTCTGAATCAGTTAACTCATCAGTTAACTCAGTTAACTGAATCAGTTAACTGAATCAGTTAACTCAATACTCAATGCTAAGGAGACATGCGGTGGTAATGACTAACATGTGAGACAAACTCTTTCCTCCAGGCACAGTTATGTACTGCCCTCCCGAGTACATACTGAAGGGCGAGTTCCATGGAAAGCCAGTGACAGTCTGGTCTCTGGGGATCCTCTTGTGCAGAATGCTGTGTGGATACTTTCCAGATAGTTTCGACTTCTACAGGACCAACATGAACACCTGGTCCAAACCTGGCTTGACAGAAGGTGAGTTCTTCTCCACAAGTACAATTCTAATACAAAGCTTCATAGGCGAAGGCCATATGGAAAATGCAGGAATGTATCCTGTTTTTCAGACCTGAAGATCTTTCAGCTTAGAATAACGATAAGAGCGGATGTAGTTTACGGTAATAATCGTCTCTCCCATCTTTCTGCACAGAATGCTGCCATTTGATCTGCTCCCTTCTGCAGCAAAAGCCAGAGCGTCGGCTTGATCTGGACAGGACTGTTCACCACGACTGGTTTTAGGTACTAAGAAAATAATTAAGGTGTATTTTGAAAATGTCACGTGTTCTAATAATGAATTTAACATTAAGCTCATTTCTGTGTTTTGTTCTAGGTGTAAGACCAGTCACGGCCACTCGGTTCATCTTTTTTGTCTGCCAGGCAAATTTATGTACTTTTGTAAATAATTTAATAATTAATTACTTCGTCTGAACGACCGCAGAGCTTCCAGCAAGAGCCTTCACAGAGATCTACTGTTTAGTCAAAAAAAGTTGCCATATGTGTTAAAAGTGCACTTGCTCAGCTAAAACTTCTAGATTTTACATTTTATATTCACAGAATGAAACAGCGGACATACTTTTTGCAGACAAAAAGTAATGAAATTAAAAAACAACTGTTCTGCATCACAAGATCAAAGAGAATGGTTTTATTTTGATGATGTTAAATGTGATTGATGATATTGGTCACAAATCAAAAAATCAAAACAAATGACTACTTTTTGTTTTCTTTTCTTTTTTTCTCAGGTAGGCTGTTAACTAATATCTGCTCCTATCTATGACAGAGAAGATGAATACGTTTCATGAAAATGCAAAACCTGTTTCTAGAACTTCCTCAATATTGCTCATTTTGTATGTTTTCCTAATCAAACACACCTGATTCAGATCATCAGCTCAGTAAAGACTCAAATGTGCAATGTTGGGTGGCTCCAGGAACAGGTTTTGTGAACCACTGTCTAACGGTATCGGCAAAAGTAAAAAAATAAAGCACATTCAATTGTTTTTTTTTGTCATTTTAGAACACTGTTTCAAAGCAGGCAGGAGTGTGAGAACCTTGCAAATGGAATCGCATCTTTAATATTGTGGAGTCCCAGAATGCACTGCAGGTACCTCTCAAAGCCCATCCCAAACCCACCATGGGGGACTGAGCCAAACTCTCTCAGCTGCAGATACCTGTCAATCACAAAGATGCGCTCTAAGGGTATGTACAGACGACAACAATGTAATAAAAACAGAAGTTTTTCATGTACAGACGACTGACCCCTGTGCGAACATGTAATATGCATGCACATGACGTCACTGTTTTCACAAATGCATGTTTTTGTAGTTTACAGAGACGATAATGGTATTGTTTTCAAAAGTTTGTGTTTTCAGGCCCCCAAAACATGTCGTGTAAATGCCCCTTAAGTCTGGAATAAAAATGCGGATGGGCTGCAAAAGTTGTTTTTAGAAACCTACCATGCATATGTGTCCTCCAAACCAGCCCTGTGAAAAGAGGGAAAACATGCAGGAGATGCAAGTGATTAGTACTTATTAATACATCTGTGAACATGTAATACGTTTGGAAAGCATTCCATTCCATTTTTGGTGCCGTATTTGTGTACAGAATTTTGATAATGAAAAGAACACGTTCACATTCTAACATACAGAATATACATTGTAGCCTAAAAATACTAAAATAAGCTTCTTTTTTTTCTCATTACAAATCAGTGCGAATAAAAAGGAACTTTTAGCACTTCATGTTTTATTTACACCAGGGGTGTCCAAACTCGGTCCTGGAGGGCCACTGTCCTGCAGAGTTTAGCTCCAACTTGCCTGGAAGTTCCTAGTATGCCTAGTAAGACCTTGAATAACTGCTTCAGGTGTGTTTAATTGGGGTTGGAGCTAAACTCTGCAGGACACTGGCCCTCCAGGACCGAGTCTGGAGACCCCTGATTTATACTGTGAAAGTTTGGTGTCAGTTTTTTTTTTTTTTTCAAGGAATCTTGCAAAAAATGCATCACAGTTTCCACAAAAATATTAAGCAGCATAACTGTTTTCAATATTGATAATAATAAGAAATTATTATTTTTTGTTTGTTTTGTTTTCGAACACCAAATCAACATATTAACATTATTTCTGAAGGATCATGTGACACTGAAGACTGTAGTAATATATATATATATATATATACGTATATATATATATATACACACATACATACATATATATATTTTAAAGAGTTATTTTTATTTATTTACTGTTTTACAACATTTTTTATTAAATAAATGCAGTCTTGGTGAGCTTAAGAGACTTTCAAAACTTTCCTGACGACAAACGTTTGAACGGAAGTTTACCCATGTCTTAAGTAATTGCAGCATATATTATTTTTATTACTACGTGAAAAGGAACTCTTTTCTAATTCTTACCGTGCTAGTCGTTGACTCAGAAGTTCTAGTCTCTCCTCTCTCAGGGATCCACCACAAAGCTCCCCCACTCCAGGCACCAAGAGGTCTACAGCAGCTGCCTGTCCAAAAAAATCATCAGGAATGACTAAATGTGAAAAGAATTAGGCCTCACTGACATGCTTAATTCAAAAAGACATGCCATGACATCTTTACCACATTTGATCATTTACTCAAGGCTTTAAACATAATATAAACATATTTCACACTGATTGATGAAATGACTGATGAAAAATCCTTAAGTGGAACTCATGGCAGGACCACATGTAGAAAAGACTGATAGTAAGAGCTCATTCTTACAGTGTGGTTGGGCTGGTCCTGGTTGTCTCGGGCATAGAAAGGCTTTAACTCGTAGGGATAGTTAATGACAAACACTGGGACATTTCCACAATGTTTCACTAGGAACTTCTCATGTTCTGTCTGAAGATCACAGCCCCACTAATGTAAAGCATATGTCAAAGAAAGTGAGAACAGATCATATTAAAAAAAGATATTCTCAAACTAAAATATACACTGACTACCATTAAAAAGTTTGGGTCAGTAAGGTTTTTAATGTTAATGCAGCATTGATGACTCTCTTGTGCTCATCCAGGCTGTTTTTTTTAAAAACAAAAATACAGTAAAGCCAGTAATATGTTGAAATATTATTACAATAAAAAATAACTGTTTTTTATTTTTATATATTTCAAAATGTAGTTTATTCCTGTGATGGCAAAGCTGAATTTCCAACATCATTACTCCAGTCTTCAGTGTCACATGATCCTTCACAAATCTGCTCAAGAAACATTTCTTACTTTTATCAAGGTTGAAAACATTTTGTGCTGCTTAATATTTTATGCAAACTGTGATATGTTTGTTTCAGGATTCTTTGATAAAAAGTTCAAATGAACAACATTTATTTGAAATAAATTTTGTAACATTGTCTTTACAGTCACTTTTGAGCAATTTAACGCATCCTTGCTGGATAAAAGTAGTAATTTCTTACTGACACCAAACTTCTGAATGCTAGTGGACATCATTGTTATTTAATGTGCATTTCTTAAAGTATCTCTTATATTATGAATAGTAACTATTTAAAACAAACATATGCTGTACTTTACTTGCCTCAGTACTGAATGTAAAGTTCTGTGAACTGCTCTTTAGAATGTCTATGGCCTCAGTGTAAGAAATGCTGTAGAAAACAAATATAACTCAATTTAAAAGCGTGCAATACAAATGCAAGGTTTAAAGAGAGATGAGATACTAAAAAATTCAAATTAAGTAATTATAAGATTGATACTGTTTGAGAGAATTATTACTTATAGTGTCTTTCTAAGTAGTGTCTTTCTCAAGCTCAAGGCCTTTTTTAAAGGGGTCATATGATGTTGCTAAAAAGAAAAGAAGTAAAAAAACTTCAACTGAAATATAATACTTACACATTAAATTGTCTTTTCAACATGAGATCCACTTGATCCTGGGAATGTTCAAATAAGATAAACATGATCAGTGTATTACATGCATTATAGCGGAGAAACTCTCAATGCTCTTATAAGGCACTTATAAAGCATAAAGAGCAACAGCATTGTGTGTCATACCCTGTGTCCTGGTGCAATGTATTTGTGAAATAACTCTACATCCTCTGCACAACAGGACAGCACATGCTCTGTGGCAGCCTTGAATAAATCCTCCATTACCTGGAGAATGAGAAACAAGCTTTAAAATGAAAATGATGCATTATGATATGTACACACTTTCAAATCCACCTTAAAACCATCATCTGTTGCTTGATAGAGTCTTCAGTGCATGTAATTCACTGAGTGGGAAGGAATGAGTTTTGCACCTTCATAAGGTCGTCGAGTGACTCAGTGAAGGCAATCTCTGCCTCTACCATGTAAAACTCTGCCAAGTGTCTCCTGCTTTGAGAGTTCTCCGCTCTGAACGTGGGGCCGAATGTGTACACTGCTGAAAAAGCCCTACAACAGACAACAGCCGATGCTGAGCAATCACAAAACAGTTTAGCATTCAACTTCAGCTAATGAATACTCAGCTCGTTATACATTTTGTAATGTCTAATCTAGTGGATCTCAAACCCTTGACCAACACAATAAATATAAAGGATATTTCCTCTGGTATTTCTGCTGTAATTATGACAGTGCTGTTTTAAAACTTTTTAAACAGACACTGGGAGCATTGTTATGATAAATCATAAACTGATTTATAAATTATTGATAAATTGGTAAATTAACAACACGATCCATTTGACTCTATAAGCTTCGAGAATCTGATTCTGAATGTTTTTTAATAAATAATAAATAATAGTTATTGCGGGGAAAATCAATGATTTCAGGTAATCTTGATTTTCTGTGTTTTTAGCATTATAATTAAGTTTTAATGAATTTTTAATTTTTAAAATTTCTATTCAACTGTTTCCTCTGCCACAATAAAGTAATGCTTTTCAAATTACTTTCATTTGGGGGCTTTTCTCAGCAAATATTGCTATTCAATTGTGTTATATAACAAATAAACTTCCTTATAAATTCACAGCCCAAATAATAAAATAGAGCTAAGATCAAGAACATGACTAGTTGTGTCTAAACTCTTTACCCTGCCATCACCTCCAGGTGCAGTTGTCCTGACACTGTTAGGTAAGCCGGCACAGAGAAGAAATGTGGGTTTGGATCGTCTGAGTCATTTTTATGACCTGCAGGCTTCAGAGAGCACAAGGAAGAACCAAAAGTATCCATGTACCAATTTTGAAATAATATCATTTTGCTTGTTGCTATAGCTCACAATTCACCCTTCAACTAAGAAATACATACTAAATCTGACCGTACCTCAACATGGAAGAGTTCTCCAGCTCCCTCACAGTCATTTGAGGTGATTACTGGTGTGTGTATCTGCACATAACCGTTATCCTGTAACAACAATTAACACATTCACTCAAAAGGAAATACAAGCCATGTGAGAATTTTTTGTTTCATAATTATAATTTGTTATTAATTTGCACATTATGCAAATTATACAGGTAATATAAGAATTAAAGAATGAAAATACATTTAAAATATTTTTTTTTACTACTATTCAAAAGTTTTGGGCCAGTAAGGTTTTTTATAAATAAACAAATTTATAATATTACAAACTGTATAAAAAAATATATAAATATATAACATTTATAAATACATTTATATTTTTTTTATATAAATTTTGTAAAATGTATAAATACATTCAGTTAATTATTAAATTACATTAATTATTTCAAATAAATGCTGTTGTTTTGAACTTTCTATTCAACAAAGAATCCTGAAAAAATGCATCATGGTTTCCACAAAAATAATAGGCAGCAGAACTGTTTTAACATTGATAAGAATTGTTTCTTTAGCAGCAAATCAGCATATTAGAATGATTTCTGAAGGATTCATGTGGCAATGAAGACTGGAGTAATGATGCTCTCCTTTACAGGAATAAGCTACATATTAAAATAAAAAACAGTTATTTTTAAATTGCATAAATATTTCACAATACTGTTCTTACTTTATTTTTGATCAAATAAATGCAGCCTTGGTGAGCATAAGAGATTTCTTTCAAAAACATTAAATCTTACTGATGCCAAACTTTTGAACAGTAATGTGTAAATTATAACTTTTCACCCTGAAGAATGACTGGATAGCAGTTGTAGCCTCACTGCGTATCCTGAGCAAAGAGCTGAAGGCATTTGTTCGGCATCTGAGGTGAGGAAACTGCCTGACATACTCCAGAGAATGACGCTCCTTGATCTTGAAAGGAAAGTCCTAGAGCAGACATACTCTGTCAATATATTAAGTCAGACTTTTTTTTATAAATCACTTTTCATCTATTTTCTCTGACCGATTCATTTTTAAAGTAAAGACTCACCACAGGATTGCATTCTCCATCCACTTCAATATGCTGAGCACGTAACTCCACATTCTGTCTCTTACTCGGGCTCTTCTCTAAGGTGCCTGCCAAGTGTCTCCTGCTTTGAGAGTTCTCCGCTCTGAACGTGGGGCCGAATGTGTACACTGCTGAAAAAGCCCTACAACAGACAACAGCCGATGCTGAGCAATCACAAAACAGTTTAGCATTCAACTTCAGCTAATGAATACTCAGCTCGTTATACATTTTGTAATGTCTAATCTAGTGGATCTCAAACCCTTGACCAACACAATAAATATAAAGGATATTTCCTCTGGTATTTCTGCTGTAATTATGACAGTGCTGTTTTAAAACTTTTTAAACAGACACTGGGAGCATTGTTATGATAAATCATAAACTGATTTATAAATTATTGATAAATTGGTAAATTAACAACACGATCCATTTGACTCTATAAGCTTCGAGAATCTGATTCTGAATGTTTTTTAATAAATAATAAATAATAGTTATTGCGGGGAAAATCAATGATTTCAGGTAATCTTGATTTTCTGTGTTTTTAGCATTATAATTAAGTTTTAATGAATTTTTAATTTTTAAAATTTCTATTCAACTGTTTCCTCTGCCACAATAAAGTAATGCTTTTCAAATTACTTTCATTTGGGGGCTTTTCTCAGCAAATATTGCTATTCAATTGTGTTATATAACAAATAAACTTCCTTATAAATTCACAGCCCAAATAATAAAATAGAGCTAAGATCAAGAACATGACTAGTTGTGTCTAAACTCTTTACCCTGCCATCACCTCCAGGTGCAGTTGTCCTGACACTGTTAGGTAAGCCGGCACAGAGAAGAAATGTGGGTTTGGATCGTCTGAGTCATTTTTATGACCTGCAGGCTTCAGAGAGCACAAGGAAGAACCAAAAGTATCCATGTACCAATTTTGAAATAATATCATTTTGCTTGTTGCTATAGCTCACAATTCACCCTTCAACTAAGAAATACATACTAAATCTGACCGTACCTCAACATGGAAGAGTTCTCCAGCTCCCTCACAGTCATTTGAGGTGATTACTGGTGTGTGTATCTGCACATAACCGTTATCCTGTAACAACAATTAACACATTCACTCAAAAGGAAATACAAGCCATGTGAGAATTTTTTGTTTCATAATTATAATTTGTTATTAATTTGCACATTATGCAAATTATACAGGTAATATAAGAATTAAAGAATGAAAATACATTTAAAATATTTTTTTTTACTACTATTCAAAAGTTTTGGGCCAGTAAGGTTTTTTATAAATAAACAAATTTATAATATTACAAACTGTATAAAAAAATATATAAATATATAACATTTATAAATACATTTATATTTTTTTTATATAAATTTTGTAAAATGTATAAATACATTCAGTTAATTATTAAATTACATTAATTATTTCAAATAAATGCTGTTGTTTTGAACTTTCTATTCAACAAAGAATCCTGAAAAAATGCATCATGGTTTCCACAAAAATAATAGGCAGCAGAACTGTTTTAACATTGATAAGAATTGTTTCTTTAGCAGCAAATCAGCATATTAGAATGATTTCTGAAGGATTCATGTGGCAATGAAAACTGGAGTAATGATGCTCTCCTTTACAGGAATAAGCTACATATTAAAATAAAAAACAGTTATTTTTAAATTGCATAAATATTTCACAATACTGTTCTTACTTTATTTTTGATCAAATAAATGCAGCCTTGGTGAGCATAAGAGATTTCTTTCAAAAACATTAAATCTTACTGATGCCAAACTTTTGAACAGTAATGTGTAAATTATAACTTTTCACCCTGAATAATGACTGGATAGCAGTTGTAGCCTCACTGCGTATCCTGAGCAAAGAGCTGAAGGCATTTGTTCGGCATCTGAGGTGAGGAAACTGCCTGACATACTCCAGAGAATGACGCTCCTTGATCTTGAAAGGAAAGTCCTAGAGCAGACATACTCTGTCAATATATTAAGTCAGACTTTTTTTTATAAATCACTTTTCATCTATTTTCTCTGACCGATTCATTTTTAAAGTAAAGACTCACCACAGGATTGCATTCGCCAACCACTTTAATATGCTGAGCATGTAACTCCACATTTTGTCTCTTATTTATGCTCTTCTCTAAGGTGCCAGTGATGTCAACAGCACAGCCAAATGTGAGGTCTCTTGACAAGAAGGGAGGATACATCAAAACTATACATCTACAGAGGCCCTAAAGAGTATTTAAACAAATAAAAACAACATTTTCTTTCTTTGATTTTTAGTGGATGCATGAAATCAGTTCCCTCAGATTCACACAAGTGCACTTGTTTACTGTAAATTGGAACAAAAAAATTAACTTAAATGATTTTAGCAAATGGCTGCAATATAACAAAGAGTGAAAAATTTAAGGGGGTCTGAATACTTTCCGTACCCACTGTATATATATATATATATATTAAAATCACAATAAATGTCACTGGGTTAGTTATTTTGTTATCTAATACAATGACATTCATTCATTTTTGTGTGGCTGTAAGTGGAGTGACTGTATATATCAAGATTTACATGGCATTTGAAATAGTAATTCATATTCATTCAAGCTCAAAGACAGTGTTCAATACGCAAATGCAGAGAATAGCACCTGGTATTCAAGTGTGTGCTGGCAACAACCTGTAGAGGTTTCAATGAACTTCCATCATTCACATGCAAGAAGAGGTTGTCTTTCTGTGGCCTGACGGATCGAACCCATCCCTGCAGGAACAGCAAATATGGTAATGTAATGATCACGGATTTTGATTTTGAACTCGTTTTTTATTTTATTTCAATTTTAGGTATTTCAGCATCACGTTGAACTAAATAAAAAGGAGAAATACTAGGCTAGTCTAACTAAATTAAAATTTTTAAGTTACAATTTTTTTTTATGATTTTAGGTAAGTATAACTACCCTGGTGTATACATAAATTACCAACAGTGCTGGGTAGATTATTTGCAAATAGTAGTCCATTACTGATTCTAAATTACACTACAAAAATTGTAGTTAGTAACGTAATCCACTGCATTAAACATTTTAGGTTAAATAATTAGACTACGTTTTGATTACTTTAAGATTACATTTGACCTAACTCATTTATCACATTGATTTAAATATTCTTGTACCATATTGATATAAACATAACATTAAGGGTGTATTCACACCAGGAAAGTCCACTAGTTCACTTGCTTTGGTCCGGACCAAATAATTTTTTTTTTTTGGTGTGGTTCGCTTTCACACTGCCCTTTTTTTGCAAGTGAACCAGAAATTGTAAA